ATTTGGCATTCAATAGCTATTGTTTTCTTCCTTTAAAGACCTGGCAAATGAGTTCATACTTGATCCTTCCCAGGACAGATTTCAATTAAGTATAAATAAAACTGCTTAAATAAAAGGCCACATAGCAGAGTACAATTCATAAGGGAAGTTTCACATCATCCTTCAGGCGTCATTCCAGAAAGTATAGCTATCTACCAGTGTAGGATGAGAGAAGATCATTTCTTCAGCAATCTAGGGGGACAAAGAGGATCGCTTCAAATTCTTTACTACCTCTAAGGTGTATGAAAATATAAATTGATCTACTTTTATAGATCTAGGTTACTGAAAGAGGCCAGTGTTATTTTGCTCAACCTTGAGCACTAAGAACATAGCTATAGTACTAATTGAAGCCTAATGTACAAACGATTTCTACCAAACCTCCAAGGTACCAGTATGAAATGGATTAAAGGATTTCAGAAAGTCAGGCTTCTAGAAATCAAGGCATTCAGCTATAGTAAAATAATGACCTTTTATGGAGCTTTGAGTTTAAGCCAAATTCAGGGTGGTGAAACTTACCAAATAGGTAATTTTTCCAATTACGCAGGCAGAACCCTCATGATCATCATAATTAACAATTATACCTATTGCATACCCTTGGACACAATACCTTATCAGATGTTAACAGGAAGTTCAGTGGGAGACCTGCCTTTCACAAGGAGCCTGTGATACAGAAGTGGGCAAAACACAATCAGGATAAAATTAAGAATGATGTTACATACCTATCAGATGAGTAAAATCAATGTCAAACCTTGTCTGAGCTTGAAGTCTGGGTCCACACCATTGCAGTGCAGCACTAACTGTAAATCGTGCTCTTTGATTTTCTCACAATTCTGTGATCTGATAAGGAAAAGAAAGTATTGTTGAGTACCTTTCCACAGATACAAATCAAGTTTATAAAGAAAGGATTCAGCAGGATAAAAGAGCCCAGTCCTTTTCTAGCTGTGTGAAAAACACAGAAACAAACACTTCTAGCCATTACACACCTTAGGTGAAATAAGCCCAAGCCTAAAGTTGCTCTGGAATTTATAGTGGAAAACCATTGTGATGTAATCAACTCTGGCCCTTAGTGACTTCATGCCCTCGTTTCCTGGGAAACAGGCTTGTGGTCTAAGATACTGATCAGGCTTTTCTGCTTAGCTAAGCTATTGTCCCTCAAGTAGTGAAATACACACTCCGTTAGCCCTACATCCATGAAACAGAAACATTCTCAGCACTCAAGAGTTCTCAATTCCAGTGAGGAAGGGTATCCTCGCACTAGGTGAGAAACAAGAGTCTAGATTTTGTACAGCACTTTTATTTCAGATAGCTATAAACACCTATACATCTGGATTGAGCCATCATTGCATCTAAGAAAAATTACAATTATTCCCTAAAGCCAAATAAAAATATCCATGTTCAATTACCTTGAGTGCCCTAAATATGCCTTTTGAATTTATTTTGTTCTTATTAGGAGCCAAACAATATCATACATAGCAATTGTTGAAACATCCTCTTTTAATCTATAAAAGCCCTTCTCCTTTTTTTTCTTTGCCATTTCATTAGTGAACAGACTGCATTACTTGTCTTGTTGAATTAGCACATTCTTGGCTTCACTGTTGTGTCCTTGAGCCTAAAAATGTTCCTTTATAATCAGTATTTCTTATAGTTACATCTATGGACTAGATTAGATTTAGCTTCAATAATTTTGGCAAGAAGATTTCATAGTTGATACTGTGTACTCCAACTGTATTTTATGAGAACACACAAGGTATCTGGTTGGCACAATTATAGTGACGTAAAGACAGATTAGTGGGTTCTAGTAATGTCACTTTGATTCACCCATATTTTAAAACTTCCCATCAATTTTTTACCTAAAAGTTTTTAAATTTATGTCCTGGTTTACTTTTTATTATTCATATTTAGTTCAGCTATCATATCATTCATCATTTTAAAGAATACACTTAAATTTTTTTTAGCATATTGAACAAATTGTGCAACCATCACCATAATTCAGTTTAGAATATTTTCATCACCCCCAAAATAAATGCCATACCCATTAGCAGTATCTTTCCATTCCCTCCTCCTCTCAGTCCCTGGCAACCACTGATCCACTTTCGTTCTCTGTGGATTTGCTTATCCTGGGCATTTCACATAAACGTGTCTGCTTTCTTTTACTTAGCATGTTTTCAAGGTTCATCCATGTGTAGCATGTGACAGTACTTCATTCTTTTTATGGCTGAATGACAGTATGGATATAACACATTTGTTTTTATCAAGTCATCAGTTGATGGACATTTGGCAAGTTTCTCTTTTGGGTGTTGGAAACATTGTTGCTATGAACTTTCCTGTACACATTTTTTGTGTGGACATATTTGCATTTTGGGGGGGTATTCTATACTTCTAGAATTGCTGGGTCGTGGTAACTCTATATTTAGCATTTTGTGAAACTACGGAACTGTTATCCACAGTGTCTGCACCATTTTACATTCCCACCAGTAACATAGGAGGCTTCTAATTTCTCCACATCCTTGTTCAACACTTGTTATTATCTGACTTTTTGACTGTGGCCATTCTATTGGGTGTGAAGTGGTTTCTCATTGTGGTTTTGATTTGCATTTTCCTTATGGCTAATGGTATTGAGCATCTCTTCACATGCTTATTAGCCATTTTCATGGAGAGACCAAAGGGTCTGCAATATGAGATCCCTGACTCTGTGAATCCATCCTGTGCTAAGCTGGTTTACCTTGGCAAAGCAGTTTAGCCTCTGTACACCTTGGTTTTGTGGCAGGATGAGTACTTATTCAATCCGTGTCTGTCCAGGGAATGGAGACAGAAAAGAAAGGCTGTGACTTGCTTCTCTGCCTGACACAATGACCAATACTCCCTGAAGTGAAGGAGAAGAAAAACAAGGAGGAATCCAGGGAGGGGTAGCTGAGATTCAGAGACCAGGGCTTTGTCATGTAAGCCTACCTGGGGGGAGGCCCAAGCTCTTTTCACTTTCTGCTAGGTGGGGAAGTTGTGGCAGATGATTTACCCCTCCCTCCAACTCACCCCCTACTAGTTGAAGGCCACTAGGTTTTGTGAGAGTTCCTGTATTGACCTGAAATCCAAAAGAAAACAAACCCAAACAAAACAAAACAAAAAAAAAACGTGCTACCTGGCCAGGGCAAAAGCATCTCAGGAGCCTCATATTCCTCCTTCCCCCTGCCCTGGAGATTCCCACCCACCTCTGACCAACAAAAGGCTGTGAGTCAGGGCCTGGGCCCTAGGCTGAGAGACAGCCTGCCACCAGATGGTGTGTGCATGGTGGGGAGGGAGCTGAGCATGTGAGGATCCTCATTAAGAAACCAAACCAGTTGCCCTCAAGTCAATTCCGACTCATAGCGACCCAAGAAGACAGAGAACATCTGCCCTGTAGTGTTTCCAAGGAGCGTTGGTGGATTCTAACTGCCCAACTTTTGGTTAGCAGCTGAGCTCTTAACCACTGCGACACCAGGGCCCCTAGGATTCTCACTGGGGGAGTGTAATTGGGGCAGGGAACTCTGACGGGTAGGGGGAAATCAGGCCAGTTGTGCTGATTTGTGGTTGTTGCAGAGGCCATGGATTTCTTTTAAAAGTGTTGTTTAAATATATATGTGTATGTATTCAAATGATGTTATATACACAGAAAATTAGTACACAAGTGCACACCAATCTTTTAAGGGTGGTTACACCGAGGTGTGGATCTCAGCGGGGAGGATTTCACTTCTGACTGGAAACACTTCGGTGTTTGTGAAGATTTCCTTTATCCTAAAATAAAATTAAGCACATATTCCATTTGCCAATGGAAATAAAAATACTTTGACAGTCATCCATTAGTAACCCAGTAGCAGTAACCCAACAGGTTACCGCTGGGCCTAAGGAGTTTGGTAGTCTGTTCGGAGTTTGGTAGTCTGTTCGGAGTTTGGTAGTCTGTTCGTTTAAAGCAAGCTTTATTTCTCTCTTTCTCTGTTCCTTGCTGGATGGATACCAAAAGACCAAAATAGTTGCCCTTGAGTGAATTCTGACTAATGGCGACCCCACGTGTGCCAGAGAACTCTGCTTGCTCCACAGGGCTTTCAATCGCTGATTTTTCTAAAGTAGAATTGCCAGACCTTTCTTCTGAAGCAACTCTGGGTGGACTCAAACCTTTTGGATGGCAGCTAGCTCATTAACCATTTGCACCCCCCAGGGACCTGCTGGAAGGATACACGACCAATATAACACTCCTCATTTCTGAGTGGTGGCACCACCAGTGACCTTAGTTTCCCTCTCTCCAGGTGTTTCCTTTTTTGAACAGTACTTTGTAAGGGGCGTGTGTTCCTTTTTTCACAAAGGAAGGAAAAACTAAAACAAGGTGCCAGCATGCAGGGGGATCCTTCGAGGGGCTGACGCCTGTGGGCTCAGCGCTGCCCCACCCCCTAGCCGGCGGTGTGGCCTCCACCTGGCACTCCCAGAAGGCCACGCGGGAGGCGCCGGCGCCCTGGCAGGTCCTTGACAGAGTGGAAGGTGACAGGGTGCACAGCACTGCGGCTCTTGGGAACCGGCCTCTCACCTGGGGAGGGAGCCCTCCAGGCTTTCCTAACCTGGAATGTAGGACTGTCACAAACTTTTCAAAATCACTTGAAAGTGTACTTACTTAAACTTATTTTACACGGGATTCGGTTCGCGACTGTCGAATGGTAAATTTTCCATTTGGTCCTTCTGTCTCAGTCTTTGCATGCCATCTTGCCGGCGGGTATCCCACTCGAAGGGAGACAAATCGGTTCTCCCCCGTAGGTGACAAAACACGTAGGTTCCCACCCCCCTCCCCCCGGCCTTCCCCAGCCGCCCGCGCCCCGCCCCTCAGCCTCACCCCAGCCCCGGGCCGCTCCCACCCTCCCGGCCGCCCCCGACGCCGGCTCCCACCCCTCCCTTTCCGGGGAGGAGAGGAGCACGGAGTTGGGGGCGTCGCGGCGCGTTTTACGGCAGGGGTGGGGGCTCCCGGCAAGCACCGCGGCCTTGCCCGCACCGGGGCCCCAAGCGGGTAGGTGCTTCAGCTTTCCATCTTTCCGTTCCCTGACGCGGGGTCAGCGGGCCGACGGTAGCCGTGGCCTTAGCGGCGGTTCTGGCTTCCAGGCCCTTCCCCGCCTCAGCGCGTGGCGGCCGTGCCGGCGGGGGACCACGGGCCTGGTGGCCGCTGCCCGGTCGCCTCGGTGCTTGTGGCGCCGATTTTTACCGCTCTCCTGGGTTGTGTCGCGGGGGATGTAGGGAGAAGCCCCTATGGCTCCCTGCCGCCCTCCCATGCTGGGGCCTGGCTGTGTGGCCCTGTGGCCCGAGACCCCTCCCCGCTCCTCCCCCGGCAGGAATTGGTTCTTACCTGGAAAGGATCTGCTGCTTCCTAGGACGGGGCGTGGGGAGAGGTGAGTGTCCTAGGTGGAGTTGGGCTGAATTCCTCCCTTTACTTTCTTGAAAACCTCGCAAGAAACCAGTCTCAAGGATCGGCCTGGGAAACGAATCCTTGCTGTAAATTGACTCTATTTAGATAAAACCAGCAGCGTCACATAATGGCTCTCTCAGAAGAGGTTATGAGGAGATGCCACTACGAGCTAGGTTAAATGGGGTAATGGGACCTATGTGACCGGGGTCAATTTTCACAAGTCGGTTGTGCTCCTCGAAGGTTGAAACTTAGCAGGGACTAAATTTGAAGAGGGAAAATGTCCTGAATGAAGAATGATTGAGGAAATCCAACCTCTCACATTCTGTGTATTTGAAACTGTTAGAATGGCTCGAGATTAGCCATCTTGGCCAGTAGTATTTGCAGTGGGATCGCAGCTATTTTAAGGGTGAAGAGCACAAGGCAGTTGGCCCCGGACCCCTTGTGAGAACACCTGCCCGTGGAATGGCGTTTAGGACTCTGTGTAGGACAAATCTTTGCATGAAAATAGGAAGTGACGACTTGGGACCTTTGAGACAGCCAGACAGGGTGGGAAACAGCAAGTAGTACCGGCTGTTCAGAGGGGCAGGCCATGGTTGGAAACTCATGTAAGAAATTGTACAAGTGTCGTTTCTGTTGCGTTTCCCTTGTTATGAGTGGCTGGGGAATCTTTCATGCTTTTTAGGGCCTTTTGTATTTTTTTCTCTGTAGACGTTCATGCCTTTTTCGGTTGGGTTGTTGCCCCTTCCCTTCATGGATTTCTAGGAGCTTGCTCTTTTTATGTCTGAAAGATTACTAATGTGCATTGCAAATTTTTTGTCCCATTTTGCAGTATTTTTCTGACTTTGATTGTGGGTCGGTCGGTTGGTTTGTTTAACATGGTGAATTTTATGTGTTCGCATTTATCCATGTTTTCTTGGATGGCTTCTGGATTTTGAGTTAGAAAAGCTTTCCCCACTCCAGAGTTATAAAAGAATGAATCCATGCTTTCTTCTAGTAGTTTTATGATTCTTTTCATCATATGTATAATTCTTGGGTCCACGTAGAGTTTATCCTGGTTTAGGATGTGAGGTGTGGAACCAAGAGTCTGTTTCGAGATGACTGCCCCTTTGTTCCAAGTCTATCTTTACTCCCGCTGATTTAGGAGATTGCCTGTATCAAATACAAAATTCTTGTATGTCTTAGAGTCTATTCTTTTTGGGGGATATGTGTCAAAATCGACTATTTTTCTTTTATACTCTTTTTAAATGTTTTTTTTTAAATGAGGTAGAATTCACGTAACGTGAAATGAATCATTTTTAAGTGTATACAGTTCAGAAGCATTTAGTACACTGAACCACCTTTACATTCCTGAGATGAATTCCACTTGGTCCTGATATTTAATCCTCTTAATATGCTTCTGGATTTGCTTTGATAGTATATGTTGAGGATTTTTGTATTTACAGTTGAAGGATATTAATCCTTACAACTATAAATGTTATATTAACTATTAATACCGTATTATATCAACTATTAATATAATAAACTATATTAATAGTTTTCTATTCCTGTTATGTCTTTATCTGGCTTTGGTATCAGGGTAATGCTGCCCTCAAAAAATGAGTTAGGAAGTGTTTCCTCCTCTTCTGTTTTTTGGAAAAGTTTGAGAAGAATTGGTTATTGAAGAATTTAAATGTTTGGGAGAATGGACCAGTGAAGCCATGTGGTCCTGGGCTTTTCTTTGTTGAGAAGTTTTTCATTATTGATTGAATCTCTTTTCTTGTTACAGATCTGTTGAGATTTTCTATTTCTCCTTGAGCTAGTTTTGGTATTGGTGTGTTTTAGGAGTTTGTCCGTTTCATCTAAGTTATGTAATTTGTTGGTGTACAAATGTTCATAGTATTCTCCTAGAGTCCCTTTTATTTTGGTAACATCTCTAGTAATATACCCACTTTACGTTTCTGATTTTAGTAATTTGAGTCTTTTTATTTCCTGCTTATTCTAGCCAAAGGTTGTCAATTTTGCTGATCTGTTCAGAGAGCCAACTTTTGGTTTCTTTGATTCTCTTCATTGTTTTTCTATGCTCTATTTCGTTTGTATCTACTCTAATCTTCATTATTTCCTTTGTTCTAGTAGCTTTAGGCTTGGTTTGCTCTTCTTTTTCTAGTTTCTCTAGTTGTAAAGTTAGGTTATTGATGTGAGATCTTTTTTCTTTTTCAGTGTAAGCGTTTTCCGCTATAAATTTTCATCGAACTTTTTTCTTTGTATCCCATAGGTTGTGTGTTCGTTTCAGTACTCTCAAAGTTTTTTCTACCTTCACTTGTAATTTTTTCTTTGACCCATTGGTTATTCAGAGGGTGGTGTTTTATTTCCATTATTTCTACATTTTTGAAAGGTCCTTCAAGTTCACTGGTTTCTAATTCTATTCCATTGTGGTGAGAGAACATCCTTTGTATGAATAAAGTGGTGAATTAGGTTTCTGTTCCTGCCGTAGCAGATTACAACCAATTTAGTGGTTTAAAACAACATAAATTTATGTTCTTACATTTCTGTAGATCAAAGTCTGTTGTGCTTCTCACTGGGCTAAAATGAAGGTGTTGGCACAGCTGCATTTCTTTCTGGAGGCTCTAGGGAGAATCTGTTTGCCTTTTCCAGCTTGTAGAGGCCGCCCATACATGGCTCATGGTCTCCTTCCTTCATCTTCTAAGCCAGCAACATTGCATCTCTTTGACCGTTCTTCAGTAGTCAAGTCTCCCTCTGACTACAGCTAGGAAAGATTCTCCAGTTTTAAGCTATGTGTGGTTAAATTGGGCCAATTCAGTATAATCTCATTTCAAGGTACTTAGCCTTAATCACTTTCACTAAATCAATCACTTTTGCAAAGTGCCTTTGACATGGAAGGTGAGATAGTCACAGGTTCTAGGGATTTGGATAAGGGACTCCTTGGGAGCCATTATTCTTCCTACTATAACTATCAAGATTAGGATTGCCTTTTTGTCAAAAAATTACTTGTATCTTTTTGGAAGGCTACACGCTCTATCCCATCAACTGCTGTGCCCTCCAAATGTTGGATTGCCTGGTGACTTTTTTTTTTTAAATCATTGTTAAGATGAGTAGGTAGAAAAGGGAACGCTGAATTTTAAAGAGTAAAGAAATAACAGTACTATATGGGAATTTTTTTTAAATCAGGATTTTTAAGTGATTAAAGATTTTGGAACTAGATTTATAGGACATTTGAAAAGGTAAGGCTATCCCTGTTTCTTGCTAAGAAATACAGAAATACATAGGCAAGAGAAACAGATAAAATCAGAAGAAAATGTGTTAATGCACTTTATTTTGAAAGAGTAATATGGGCTTCTTTTCTGTGTGTAATTTCTTGTATTCAGACAGCTTTTCACGTAAAACTTATTTCCCCTTAGATGTTTGGGTCATTTCCCTTTTCTTTCTAGTGTTTAATGTAAGTGGAAGTGAACACAGATGCATGTTTTCATTTAGCTGTCTTTAGACATCAAAAGCAATACATGCTATATAGTTTTCTGCACCTTGCTGCTTTTACTGGTCTCTACAGAGAAGATGTATTCCTTGGTCCTGTTCACTTTGTTTCTAACAGCTGATTAGGATTCCTGCATGTGTGGGGGGAGGTTGGTTAGGGACACTGGTTAAGTGTTCTTGCTCATAGAACACTTGGCTTCCCTCTTTGTTTTTCAAATTACAAAGGATGCAGCAGTGAATAACCCCGTAGGTAAGAAGTTTTGTGTGTATGTGTCTGGTACACCTTACGGTGCAAATGTCAACCTAGGAATGATTAGTTAGATAAATTATAACATGGCCATACAGTAGAATAAATACCCTTTTCTCTCTAAAGAGAATGTCTTGGATGACTGTAGTGATGATGGAGATACCTGGTTCCCATTTATGAGTGAGTAAAATGAGCTGTTGATCAGTTGAGGGTCTCTTATTTCATTTATAGTAGAAGGAACATTCTTGTGAATATATTCATATATATTCTTCCATATTTACTCAATTGCAGCCACACACACACAGAAGCTGGGAAGAAAGGTCTGAGAGTTAAAAGGCAAAGTAATGATTGTGCTTGCCACAGAGGATAGGCTTTTAGGGGGTAGATGTCTTCAGATTTCACATGAGGTGGTTGTGTGACCTGATTTTTTACATCACCCCTGAGTTATGTTTGTGTAATTACTGGAAATAAAGAGATATTTTTTAACAGTGTGCTTTAGTAAGAAATTTTTGTTCACCCAAGATGTAACACAGTAGAACAAACAAAAAATTCATTTCATTATTTGTCAGTGGAAAAATAATAGTATCTGAGTTGGTGGTATGGAGTATACACTGCCACCTTTTAACCTTTTCTGTTTAGAGACGGTGGGATCGCATGTGAGGACAGGTTACTGTTTTATGACTGGTTCAGAAGGAGTTCTTAACAGCGGCTGCAGCAGTGTGCTCAAACATAACGATTGTGAGGATGATGCAGGACCAGGCAGTGTTTTGTTCTTTTGTACATAGGGTTGCTATGAATCGAAATCAACTTGATGGCACCTAACAACAACAACTGATACATGAAAGACTTATCAAAGCTCTGAGGGAAAGAAAGAAAACCAAGAAAAGACTCT